ATTTAAAATAATTTCCACAGTGCCCCCTAAATGCCATTAAGCATTAAGTCAACCGAGGAGGGGGAAAACTTTCTGCACTGAGTGTATGTTTTGTTTCTTGTGTGTGTTCATGGCTGCAGGCTTTGTTTGCTGTTTGTTTTTCTTGCTTTTCTTTTTTGCCGTGTATTTTTTGCTGCATTTATGCACATAATTGAGTGCTGAAAGTAATGACCAGACAGCTACATTTTTTGCAGACTCAGAGGTTTCCATTTTTTGTTTGGTCAGAATTGAGGAATTTTTTTAATGGGACTTACTCAATAAAGTTCAAATTATAATTAAGAAAAATAGAAAAAATACTAGACTTTAAAGCTAGCTTACTATACATTTTCCTAGCCCTGCCAAACATTTAAAAAAATAATTCGGACAATTTTAAAATTTAAAGAATTATATTTTTTCCTAATTAATATTTAAAAATAATATATTAAACACTTTGAAGAAATTTTTTTTATAACACAAACATCTGGTATAAATTTATATATTTTTATAGAAAAAAGCGCAAGGCAAGCAGCATTTTGGTTTTGTGTATCGCATTAAATCCATAAGTCTTGCGGAAATATGCTTCGTCACACCCTGTATTTATTTATGCTCTTTTGTTGAGTAAATAACATATTTTTGTGCCATATTCTGCTCGATTAGTTTTTGGTACACACACGCTCTCCAAACGCCCTCGCAATTCGATTGCAAAAATTTGTTTGCCACATTTGACACTACGTCAATTTGCAATTCATTGTCGCTTGGCAAACTGAAATTCATCATTTCGCATTGAAAATTTGTGGAAAATATTTGCCATGGATTCAGCAGTGCGCCAAAAATTAATTAGGATGCCTTGTCGGAGCGGCTGCCAGTCGAAATTAGATCTCGGAAATTGTTGTGGCACTTGCAGCTTCAAACTCATAAATGTTTTGTGGCTTTATGCCGTTTCTGAGCGAGTTTGACTTACCGAAATTGCGTAATGCGGTTGTTTCAAACTAAAGTTTTACTAGAAAATTGAGTGTTTCTATGTCTTCTGGGCATAAATAGAAAATTTTGTATGTTGGTAACTAAAGGCTAATTGGGAAAAGCCAACCGCTTTAGCTATTATAATTTTAAAAAAAATATATGTTCTAAAAAAACCCTAGGTAAAATAATATTTTAAACTTATATTTTAATTTTTAAATTGTACCAAATTCAAAAATATATATTGTATATATTGTCGGCTTAATTAAATTATTTTTAATATACATAAGAGTTTGTTTTATATATTTACTAATTTTAATTCTTAATTTTTTTCAATGTTTTTTGTATAAACTTGATACATTTCGACAACACTCTTAAGCCCACATCCATTAAAATTGTAATTTAAGCCTGCTACATTGATATCAAATTAAAATCGAATAAATGTGATTTCTGGCATATGCGCAGGCAAATTAAAATTCATGTTGCGTGAGCAGTAATAAGCTATCAAATTGGATTTCCTCGGAATAACCTATCCCTCAGATTGCTTGTAAACATGATAGTAGTATTTAACGGCTTAAAGTGCCCGGGCAAAGCGGCTTTATTGGCAACTGATTACTCAAGCGAGGATGGGTCCAGCCCACGTCCATTGGCCCAAAACAAACATATTAACGCACGGGGGCATCGAGGCCTGACTTTGACGCATATTGGCCTGGCAATTAATCCGCCTAGCCAAACATGGCAACATATTGTGCTCACGCACGCATAAGAATAACAAAAGCATTTGAGTAGCAACTCTTGCCCCAAAACTAATTGCCCATTCTTCGGAAATGGTTAGTTCTTCTTTCCTATCTTCCAGCCAGTAATTAGGTTTCCTTGTGTCCGTAATTTCATTTTGGTCGGTGAGAACAACAGTTTACAATCCTTGGTGGCCAATAATTATGCCACGATTGTGTCTCTACGGCTGCTGCCGTTGCAGTTACCATTTATGGACCGCAATTCAATTATGGACGCTCGTCAGCAGCACTTAACCAAAGTCTTAAGCCGCCTTTGTTTGCCACACACACACACACACACACGCACACATTCCACTCGATTCCATTCAATTTTCAAGTGGATACTGCGGCGGATAACTAAACAAATTACGCAAAAGATTTAATTAAGCAGCCTTAATGCCTCGGTGACAGCTCAGCTCCCTGGGCACGTTCACGTGCCGTATACGTAATATGCAAATGTGCAGAGCGCCCGAGGAGGCAATGCCAATGGAATAGGGGTATGAACTGGGGATTTTGTCCATTTGAATGTCTCACTGTATGACTGAGCTCTCATAAGCTTCCTAAGGGGCACAACGAACCCGAGAACCCGAACCCTTCTTAATGGTCCCAGATTATCGGCCCCAACCCCCAAGCAGATCCTCCAGTTCATCGGGTGGTGGTAATTAGCATTGCAGCAGGTGCAACCGCAGCAGTTGTCGTTAGTCGGCAAGAAATGCGAATGGAAATTGCTGGAAAGTATGCAATGAATATTCCTGTAGCTCCCGTCCAGTTGCAGAGCAAATGTAGATGACTTGCAACGGGGGAGCCTTTACTGCCCCACTGCTCCACTGTTCTACTGTTCCCATGGACTCCTGCACGCCAACGCATTTGCTGCTGGATGGGAAAAATGATACTTCGTTACACTTAGCGAAAATCAAGCACCACGAATAGAAATTTCTGAAGAACTAAAATAAATTACATTTTGATACTATACATGCATATAAGCTCAAATTTGTATTTATTTTCGTAGGATGTTAGGGATAGGTAAGAATTTTTTATATAGATAATCTTGAATTTCCATATTTTAGTTTGAAAGTTCTCCCTTTCCCTTCTTTGTTCTTCAAACTAAAATTCAACGTCTGAACAAAGTTTATTACTAGATTTTAGATTTTTTTAAATATATAATTTTTATTAATCTTAAGAAATACATATTGTAAATCTCTTAGAATTGGTCTTCATTAACCAACCCATTGAAAATCATACTTAAATTAATATTGGATATATACATTATTAAAATACTAAAAATTTTTACGGATCTCAAGCGTGGACCATACTTGAAATAAATATTGATCATAACAACTAAATAAAATAATTGATAGCATATATATTAATAATGGATTATACATTATTACATATGTTCTAGAATTTTTTATTAATCTCCCTTAAATCAATTATGCATTTTTCTATTTCTATTTTTAAATCAAAAGTATCACATTTCTTTTTAAATTATACAAAGGCAACCAAAAATGTAGTTTTCCTTGGGTTTTTTAAATGTAAGGCTTTAAAAAGGGGTTTCCTTGATTTGAGTCTGGGGCGCATTCTGTTTCTGTGTTCCTGTGCACGGCTTTTGTCCTGCTCGGCAGGAGAACAATAAATGAGGCAAGAACAAACAAAGGATGGGTCGCATTGCCTTAACTGACACACACAGTAATGGCTGCAATGGTGTGCCTGGGTGCGTGTGTGTTGGTGCGGCTAAAGGACCATCATATCGGTTTTTTTCTAATTGAGACATCTGTGTGCGTGCGTCTGCCATCGTTTGTTTTGGCCACTGTGCGTGCTGTGTCTATGTATGTGTCTATGTCTGTGTGTTTGTCTTCAATCAGCGCTTGAGTTGGCAACATGTTGTTGTTGTTTTTACTGCCTACTTTGTTGGGCGCTTGTTGGCCATCTTCGTCTGACTTTCAGCTAAAAATATTTAACTCACATTGCTCGTTGGATGGAACATTAAATACACACAGACACACACACACACCCTGATATTGTCAAATATAACAGGGGAAAATCTCTCTTATTTTTCTTCTCCATGGGTCCAAAAATAATTCCCGGAGTTTCTGGGAGCTGTGTTGTGTTTGCGCTCCGCTTTTATCATTTAATTTTGGCTGCTTTAGCCGGGGTTCGTGCCCAAGACGAAATCAATAAAGCCGGCGAGAGTCCACGTGTCCAGGCCACGAGCGGTTCGCATTAACGGATTTTCACTGCCCCAGAACGAACCAACCCAACCCAAGGCCCCCTCCATAGAGTTTATAAATTTCAAATGGAAATGACATTTATTAGAAACCCGATGGCTGATCAATGGATTAGATATCGCCACCATTATTACTCGCATTAAATAGCCATGTTTAACGCTGATTAAAGCGGCCACCCGGCGACTGAATAATGATGGTGAAAATGTGAAAATATTGGCTTAAATACGATACGATACTCGTTAGAGCCTGCATATTTTATGGAATACATTAAATTAATTTTATTCATAATGCTTACACAAAGTGGGCATATGATTTGATTTATTACCATCGCGCCGGGTTTTAATTAACTTGATTTTGGATTTGATTTAACGCATGGCGGAATTTTACAAACCATAATTAAATGGCAAAACAAATACGGTCTATTTCACTTGCGGTCTATTTATTTGAACGGTTTTATGCATTTAATTTTGGTGTTTCTATTTGTTTGCGGGGCAATTAATTTTGTAATTGAATGTACATACATAAATAATTTCAATAATAATATTAAAATATATTCCTCATTTATAATGGAATATAAAGGGAGAAGTAAGATGTTTTTTCAAAGTTTGAATTTTCGGCGATGCAAAATTTACTGAATTTTATATTATTGAATTTATTATTGATTCAAAATTAAACAAAAATCCAATAAAACAAGGTGCAAAAACGTTATTTTTGATACTTTAACTAAAAACCATGAAAACAACCCCGTTTACCTACGAAAAGTTTATAAATTTCCGGAAAGAAAATGCAAAATAAATTGCATTAAAATAAAATGTAATTTACCCACTTGGAAAAAAGCCTTTTGGAATAAATTTGTTTCCAAAATTTTTAGCCGACTTAACCCACTAGAAAATGCCAAAGGCTCTTAGACTGCAAATAGAATGCCATAAAAGCAAACCGCATCCATTCGCCATGCTTAACGGTCTTAAATATTTAAGCTTGTTTGCCCTCAATTGTAAAATGCTGACCTAGAAAGTTGCCTCTGCCAATGGTCTTCCGCCGGACTTCGTCCTGCGTCCTTCGTCCTCGATCCATATTCTATCCGCCGTTTTCTGTCAGCCGTCATCAGTCCGTGTCCGGTGTCGCCAGTCCCTCGTTTGTCCGTCTGTCCATCGGTTTGTCGGGGGATACTTTGTTCTCCCTGGTACCCATATAGAAGTCTATATAGCCACCTTTAAGCACACAATGCGGTTCGGCTTCTCTGGGCCCTCTCATACTTTATTTATTTACCATCAACACAATTTATTTAACGACGACAAAAAATTTCACGCAACATTGCAAAGGTACTGGGTGAACCGAGTGAAACGTTTTTCCACTAAATAGTTTTACGTTTCGCCTGAAAATTTATATAGCCTCGTTGGCTTCGAAAGTCCTTCTCAGCCTTCTGCCGCCCAGAGAAAAGTAAGATGTCTCAAGTCAATTTGTTGGCTTCCCTTGGAGCTTCGGGGCGAGCATCTTGCCAAAATGTTTACTTGCATTGAATAATTCAGTTGGTAAAGAATGTACACCAAAGAGCAGACAGGCCCCGGGGGTAAAAGTCGGAGGAAAAGCCGGAAAAGTCGTCGAGGGCAGGCTGTGAGTGCAGTCAGAATGCGAGAAATGTGTCAGACACTTTGACACATGTTAGCCAAGTCAAATTGCATTAGGCTTCCATTTGGGCAATTGCCAAATAGTCATGCAAAAATGCTCTCTGTGGCGTTCGCTATTTCCAGCAATTAACGAAAAGATTATGTCGTAAGCGCATTTTCATGAATTCCTAAAAAGTTTCCGCCAACAATCACACGCTATTTTACGTATTCATCCAGAATGAATGGCCAGGGCCAAACTCATTTAACTTTTTAACTGTGCAAGGCAGCCAAAAGAATGTCACAGCACAGGAAAATATATTTTTACAGACTTTGCGGGACCATCGGCGAAGCTTAAATGCTCTATTTAAAAATAAAAAATATACGAATACGGCAAGAAATTTCAAGTTCTATTAAGTTTTTTAAATAATTCTAAATTCATTATGAGTTTAAAAATAGAATATTAACATTAATTCATTCCTCGCGTACCCCAATTAATTTTTGTATTTCAATCAATCCGATTATGGGCAGCTTATGGTGAAGTTAATACAGATTAGTAACTCGAATTCTTGACTTTATTAATACCTCATCATGTAAAATTAACAGATTTATAGCTTAAATATGTGTAAATATTTTTATAAACTTAATACAGTCTCTAAAAAAATAAAAAAGATACATAAATGCATAAATAGAAGAGAATAATTCTCATTTAATTCAAATAAATATTTACTAAGAACCAAGCATGAAAATATAATGGCAAAATAAAGTAATCTGTTTAAAATGGTAGAACAAATAAACACAAAATGTAGTTTTGTTCAATTTATTATTGATTGCCAGCCCTCTTTTGTTTTAGCCTAAACTTTTCAAACACACACTGCGAAACCATTTGATGCGTATAAATAATTTTAGCTAATTAGCTTGATATTTCTGCAAAATATTTTGCATTCATAAAACTTAAGCCACCATTTTCTGGGGAAAATAAATTACGAATAGAACTAACCCACCTTCACTAGCCAGCGAATTTAAATTCTACCTTTTTAACTGCGAGTTAATGAGTGTATAAATTGAGCACAAAAGCCAAGCCAAGCAATAAGCGCATTAATTGCCAGTGCAGAAGTACGGGGATAAATGGTCGCCTGGGCAACGAGGCGTATGAGCGATATCAAGTGGCCGCAATTAAAGTGAAATTTTCCTTACTGATGGGATTTTCCCGTTTTTCCTTTTTTTTTTTTTGGTGATTTCCAGGAAGCCTGAAAGCAAAGCAGCTGGAGAAGAGCAGCACTCCTGGCCCATTTTAGACATCAAAGACGGCAACAACGGCGGCCAGAATTTTCTCACGTTTGGATAGTGTCGAGGAGGTGCAACGCGGTCGCAGTGGCAGCGCTGTGGGAATAACGCCGCCGGGCGGACCTGGAGCGGGAGTGGGAGTGGGTGGAGTGGGAGGATCAGGATTAGGGTCCGGAGCGGGTACGGTGGCAGCGGCAGCGGTGGCAACGGGATCACCGGCCAGAAGTGGCCAGCAGCAGCAGCAGTTCGTCGGAGTGGGCGGTGGTGGCGTCGGCGTGGCGGGAGCAGGAGCGGCTGCTGTGGGAGGCGTGGCAGGTGCGGGAGCGGTACGACAGCGGAGCGCCAGCACGGTGCTGGACATTAATTTGCCGCAGCGCAAGGTGTCCGTGGGCGGCGGTGGCATTGGCATTGGCTTGGCCGGACCTCCATCTCCAGTTATACGGAATGGTTTTAGTGTCTATGATCCGCCGGTGTCAGTGATTTCCAGTCGCCACTCGAACTTTAATGGCCAGGGCGGTGTGGGTGGTGGCGGGGCATTAACAGCTGGACCAGGTGCAACAGCCTCCGGCGTGGGAATAGCCACCACTAATCGCGGACGACTGTCCATCAGCGCAGCAGGTGGGCCACTCATCGCATCATCATCATCATCAGCAGCAGCAGCATCACAGGCGCCAGGAGGTGGAGCAGGAGGAGGGGCATCCGGATTAGGTGGAACGACAGGTGCAGGTGCAGTTTCCGTTTCCGGTTCCCTGCTCGGGGAGCCAGCGGGCGGAAGTGGATCGGCGCCGACCATCGGCGGCACCGCCCCACCCAACCAGCCGGGTCCCAAGCGCCAGGGCAGCTTCTCGAATGTCTTCTCAAAGCTAATCGATGGTATGCCCGCCGGCACAATGTTTGCCAAATTCAAGAGCACCAACGTGGCCGCCTCCACAGCCCCGCAGAGCGTCGCCGATGGCAATCCCATTACGCAGTACTTCGAAATCGGCAAGCCGGTGGCCTGTGCCGGCCCAGAGTTGGTGTGGCGCATCCATGATGCCTACCGCAAAAGCGACAACAAGGTGAGTGGGCCACGGCCACAGCCAACACCCAAGCCCAAGGGCTTTTACAGCAGAACATTTTTCGTTGAGGTGAAAAGAATTTTTTTGAAAATCCATCACCTTTATTAGGAAGTAATTATAATGGAGCCCACTTAAAATCCTAAACTAGATTTAATTAAATTACCTTTTTTTAAATGTTCTATACAGAAAATATGAAAATAGTAAATGGCTATTGATTAAACTTGTTACCCACGAGTATATTGACGGTTAACTAAACATATTACATATTATAAGAAAATTTTCCTAATACCTACATATATGGTTATTTGTAAATATTAAAATACTAAAGAGTACTTTATAACACAAAAGTCGAATCAATTAAAAAGTTTAAGCAGCAGGTTAAACTAGTTACTGCTTCACAATAATTTCAACTAGGATGCAATAAGCTTTGTTCCTTTAACTCTTTTCCTAAAGTAATTGCATCTCCGTTTTGCAGGAATGTTCGGTGTTTATATTCGAGAAGAAAATTGCGGAGAAGCTGCACAAGCCGCGTCGCAAGGAGACCATAACGGAGCTGCTAAAGAGTTCTGTGAAGACACTGGAGCGCTTCCGCCATCCGCGGGTGAGTCCGTCCTGGCCCCCAATCGATAATTACTTTTCCGTAAAACCCCCCTTTGGGGTTTCTTCCTCTTCTTCTGTTCCGTTTGCCCCGCAGATACTGCAAATCTATCACACGGTCGAGGAAAGTGCAGATACACTGGCCTTCGCCTCCGAGCCCATCTTCGCCAGCCTCTCGAACGTCCTGGCCTTTCACGTGAGTTTTGGCCACAGTTTTAGTTGCCACTCGGCAGTGGCGAGATGCGAGTTGCAAGTTGCAAGTTGCTAGTTTGCGTTGCTGACAGCGACATGGTCCTGCAATTTGTGTTGTCGCCTGGTTGCCTTTCACTCCTATATTGGTTACGGCTTTTTCTGCCCCTTTACTCTTCACCCTGTTGGGACACAGAACAAAATTTGTCTCATATCAATTGGAACTATCTGCCTATAAAAAATAAATGCATACAAAGATATATATTGTAGTCTATGTACACTTTCATTTTAGAATATTATATTTGTGTTAGTGCAAAAATCACAAACCCATTGGTTAAAAAATTGTTTAGTTTAGCATCAGATCTTCTGGCATTTATAGTGATTTAAAATATTAGTTTTTATACACTCTCAGAAATATTATTAACATTTGTTTGTCATTGCAAGAACCCCTAATACCTTCTTTTAGTTATGCAAAGTCATAAAACAAAATTCGTAAAAAATGCTAAATTGTTTGGGGATCTGAAAAACATTTTTAGTCTTTAAAAGTATTTGTATCTTTATATTTTTTATAAGGGGGTTGATAATATTGTCACTGTAAGGGACCAGAAAACCTTTAGTTAAATTAAATTAGTTTTCTTGTGTTACAAAAACGCATTTTAAAATAAAATTTCCAATGTTATGAGCCACATTTTTATCATTATTTAGTACATATTTTTTTCCGTGTAAGCTCACATCCACTACTGGTTCCTCTTCCATTTCCCAGGTACGGCGGAACAATGTTTAGACTGCTCGGTTGATTGTGGCACTGTTTTTGGTGTTGCTGCCGTGTTTTGTTAAAGTTTTTGCAGGCCAGCCAAGTGCATAGTTTGACTTTGAGCACAATGGGGAGTGGGTGGGTGAGTGGGCGTGTGGGCGGGTAGGGGGCGTGGCTGTTGGCCAGTGGCTAGTGCCTGGTAGAAACTACCAGCTGATGGGTATGCATGACAGAAACACAAACGCCAGCTCTCGCACACAACTATATCGAAGGATACAGGACGTGTCTGTGTGTGTGTTTGTGAAAGTTTACGCTGCCAAGATTGAGTCAATAAAGAGCTTTAGTTGGTCCGCACAGCTCAGAAATTGATACGCACACACATGCACAGTGCGTGTCACAACTTAAAGGTGGTTTTAGCCAGGATATTGGATTATATTAGTTGCCCAACTGAAATTAATTTGGGGATATAAGCAAAAACTTGAACGATGAACTCTCTAAATTGGGTTATAACAGGATGCTGAAGTACAAAGTACTATCTTGAAAGAAGTTGATTCGATTTTTGTCCTTCTTTCTTCTCCTTTCATTTTTTTTATTATTATTTTACAAGTTATTAGAAAGTTTTATAGTATTTGAAAATAGATTACTCCAAAACCATTTACACCAATGAAACGCACTGCACCTCTTCTGTTTAAGACCACACAAAAACAACAACAACATAAACAGCTCAACAATAACCAAGCGAACTGAACCTCCTGAATAGTTTTTAGTTTCCATGAAAGTCGATTCGAGTTAAATTACATTGAAAATTGCAAAAAGGTAAAACTCAAAGCACTCACAGGCACACACACACACCCCCACAAAACAAACGAAAAATTGGTAAAGGAAAAGCCATCGGAAAAACAAAAAGCCAGGGTCGAACCAAACAGCAGGAACACGAGAGATTTGAATGGCTTATCATCAAATGCAATGCTCTGAATGGGAATTTTAAAGCTATGAGCTGGAAGTAGCTTCCCATCCCATTCGAGAGTGAAACGAATTTAAGGCCACCCAGCCAGCTCAGATGGGGATTAGGCCCTAACTCTTTATTACCTGTCCGCACCGTACACAGAAAAATTCCAAAGGGGTTTTACTTTATTTTTAGTTTATATAGATTTCAGCTAAAAAATCACATGAGGATTGGTTTATGGTAAAGTAATTAAAAACCAAATGAAATGAAATTGTATCAAACATGGATTTAAATATTTTAACACTATATAAACATATAGTGGTGTCACAGAAGTCTCTTTAGCGGATGATAAATGTATATTGATGCACATTAGAAATGTATATTGAAAACCAATGGGCCATTTACTAAATATACACATTTCTTGACAAACAAATGGATTGATACAATTGTAATATATAGTATTAGAGGTAGCATGGAAAATAGGAAATAAAACCTTTAAAGTTTTCTTTTGATACCTATTTTATTTGTGATAAAAATATTTCTTTAATTTGTAATAAAGGGCTTAATATATATTCAGACCTTAATGGGTTACGAAAATTATATAAGCACATACAAACAGACCTTTACTATCGGCTTCCCATGCATATTTCATTATAAATAACAACCTATAAAGTCTTTGGAAAATTTAATAATTTTTTTTACTGTGTAGGAGTCGAAGACCTACGACACCACCAATATGACGCCGGCGGCGGGCGGAGCAGCGGCGGCCCAGGCCCAGGCGGCGGCGAACACTTTGCCACAACGACCGGCCCACGCCAAGGAATACACTTTCTTGGACATGGAGCTGAAGTATGGCTTTCTCCAGGTGAGTGGCAGCCCGGCTGGCAGGTAACTGTTTTCCGGACAGACACCGTGACCCTCGACCCGTGCTTCTTTTTTTTCCAGCTGACCGAGGCACTGGCGTATCTGCACTATTCCGGTCACGTAATTCATCGCAATGTGTGTCCATCTTCTATACTAATAACCAAGCGCGGTATCTGGAAGCTGGCCGGCATGGAATATGTGGGTGAGTGCGGTCTTGGTTTAGGAGTCCAAAATTGAAATGGATTGGCCAGGTCAGCAATTTGTATTCATATTCGCATATTCGGATTGCAGAGCGAATGAACGAGAACGATTTGAACAGCTCGATTCCGTGCCCACCTTGGAGCAACCGGGTGTCCAAGATGGCCCAGCCGAATCTCGACTTTATGGGTGAGTAAATACAGATTGGTCCTTCTCTTTAGCTTTTTTATTTGTGGAAAAGCCAATGAGACTGAAAATTTATTCTATTCTTATCCATTTGGGACTTTGGTATGACTATATAAATGAAATATCATCGTGAAAATGGGAGTTTAAGAGGGGGATTCCTAAAACTAAGAGCTGGTATTAAAATTTACATTATCTTTTAGGAATTGTAATGATTAGATAATGATTTTAATGAAACCCTAAAGACTTAAACAAACCAATATTTTGGTAATTCTATGAAAACTCTGTAAGTAACGGGTATATGCACCCCGAAATAATGATAATATAAATATGATATAATAATATTATTCTTAATATTTTAAATTTTGTACTATCTATTTTAAAAAGATCTTACAGAAATATTTTCTAATCTAGTTTATTTAAAATGATTATATCACTTAAGGTCTTTGAAACTTTAAGGGAATATTAGGTTTCTGTCTTTTAATATAAAGAAAATGTCTTTAATTATTCAGAGTTATTATTTATTTGACCTTATGATGAAAGCTTTATGTCTAATGTGTTCGGATCTTTTATTTATCTTACTTTATTTGAATTTTCCCCGATTAGCTCCCGAAACTCAGTCAACGTCCAAGTGCAGCCTGCTCAGCGACATGTTCTCGCTGGGGATGGTGATTTGTGCGGTCTTCAACAACGGAAGGCCGCTGATACAGGCCGGCAACTCCACCTCCAACTATGCCAAGCAAATAGAATCGGTGGGTAAACAATTTCTAATTTCTGAATGGCCAGGAAGCCGGGTGGCGGACAGGATGGACTGGATGCCGGACGGCCGAGACAAGTGTCAATTGGATGGATGAAAAGTTTTGAGCCGAGGCAAAACGCTTGGATGGGCTTGTTTGCGTGCTGTAATTAGATTCGCAGC